GGCAGAGAATAGGCGAGTTATTTTTCTAATATATTCTTCATATTTGCTATATTTTTTACGTTTCTTTCAACTATCTTCTCATAAAATGCATTTAACTCTTCATCATTTATATTCAAACCTTCTGAATTCATTGGTGCTAGCTGAGTCTGAATAGCAGGCGACTCAGAGACGCGGACGGGTTTAGACTTGGTTTTTTTTCCTCTGGTCTTTTTTACCTTACTTCCAGAAATAACACCTTCTTTTGATACTGGGTCGGTGGATCTACTAGGCTTTTCTGCACCATCAGGTATTACATTTTCCAGTGCTAAAATAGTAGAATTGTATTTATTTTGAAAATCTGTATCATTCTGTTTATCTATATCATTTGTACTTGAATAGGAAAGCGGGACTGTTGAATAGTTCCATTCGACCCTTCCTACCTCCTGCCCTCTCCAAATCTGATATAGACGAGAAGATGATATATGAAATTTCTTCCTTAATTGTTCCAGAGGCTTGGACTTCATATCTCGATATTGCATGATGTCTTCGTAATCTGCAGTAGATAATTTTGTAGCATCAGAACGCATATACCTTCTGAGTGGGGGATTGATCATATTGTCAGATCAGATTTTCATACTATTAATAAAAAATGTGTACGCAAAATATTAATACTATGCGTAGTATGCAGAGTATCGGAAGCATCAGTGCTATGCACACTACGAGCTCTATCCGTGATATTAGTAAAAAATGTGTGTAAATTATTAAATCTATGCGAAGTATCAGTAATACGCAAAGTATCAGGAGTATCGGGAGCATTAGTGCTATGTGCAATCTCTCCTCCAAAAAAAAATAAATTTCACTTGAAAAATTGTTACAATGGCTTAGCCGAAAAATTCATCCATTCGTTCGCTAGAAAGTTCGGCATATAAATTATATATGCTTTCAATTTCTTTATCCCAATCATTATTTTGGTTAGCCAAGCTAACACTAGGAGGATACTCTTGTCCTCACCATATTTGATACACTCTCCGTGATGATATTTTGTATTTTTTAGCTAAAACTGGTGATATATTCTTTTTACCTTTAGCATTTATAATATCACTGTATGTTTCAGGTGAAAGAAGAGTTGCATCAGATCTTAGATATCTACGCATAGTTATTTTTATCGGTATTGCTTATATTTAATTATTTTATTTTTAATATACTAGCAACTAAGCCGAAAAAAAAGGCTATGACCAATGTGTATACCTTGAAAGATATCAATAATAAAGGTGATGATTCCTTTAGAGGGGTTGGTCAACGACTTGGTGGTGTATATGAGCAAGAGCTCGAAAAAAAAATAAGATCCGTTACTGAATTTAACTCTGAGATTAATGATCTCAGCGAAAAGCTGGTAGATAAGTACAATGAGCGAGAAAAGGAGTTTGAAAATAAAGCTAGCCAATTAATTGCGTCCACTACTAAGGTTAGATCCCAACTTATTTCTGAACGGAAGTCTCATTCTGAGAGTCAACGTGAGCTTGAAGCCAAATATTCTGCTGAAATCCAATCGCTCAAATCAAAGATTAAAACACTGAAGAGAGAGGGAACTTTGGCCCAGAAAGCTTCGTCTGCTGACAAGGTCCAGATTCTTTCTCTTGAAACTAAAGTACGTGAATTGGAAGGTAAGTTGGATGACTTGGAGCTAGATCAGGTGCTCCACGATTCAAATGTAGTAGGAGGGCTAATAGATGAGCCGGTCCAAATAAACTCATCTGATCCTAAAGAGATCGATTCTCTTAGGCTTGAATTGGAGCAAGTGAGGGATGATTTATCCTCGAAAAAATACGAAATAGAATGTATGGAAAAGGGAATAGAATTTTCAAAAAACATATACAATCAGACGATAGATTCTTTATTTTTAACGTGATCAAATTTAATAGAGGCAAATAGGTCCCTTAGGGAGCAGTTAGCGTTAAAGAAAAATAATGAAGTAGATCGTCCACTTTCGCCTATAAACAATTTAAAAGAAAATGAGAGTGTACAGGTCCCAAAAGAATTACAACTTTCCGTTCTTAATCCTTCACCCTCCCAAATATTTTCCGCAGGTGGTGTAGAAGCGGTGTCTTTACCAGCAACTGCTCCTATCGTCACGAGCTCCTTGATGTCGCCTATGTTAATATATTCTATACTTACCCTAGTACTTATTACAATTATATGGTTTATGACCAGGAAATGGTGGAATTTGCGGAAAAAAAGTAATACTGAGTATTCTCCTTACCAGAACTATTTTTTATCATCTCCGGGCATTTCTGAGGCTGGACTGTATGATCGGAGGCGCCTTGTCGGAGATAGAAATTGAAGTTAGCCGGTATTATTGTACGAAAAAATATATGCTATTATAAATATTATATGAGGTATCTTAGCTGAAATTGCCACATCCCGCTAAGAGTACTTATCCATATAATTTAATGATCTCGTCTATATCTGCTTCGGACGAATCATCTTTTTTGCTATTCTGTAATTTCGATAATGTTCGGTAGCGTGTGATTTCTAGGCCAACCACTTTGAACCATATGTTTCGGAAATCTGCTAGTAGCTTACACTCATCCAAATAATATGATGTTAAATATTGTTCTAAAGACATTGCCCGCTTCTTAGTAACTAATTTATATATACTTTCTCTATACTCTATATCAACCTCGGAAATTTCTTTAAGCAATGATGAAAGTTTTAAGCGGATGGATTCTTCTTGCTT